TTTAAACGCTTTTCACCCAAATCGGGCTAACAAAAGCATAAAAATACGATTTTCAATTTATTTCAAAGTATATTTCTTAACTATCTTCGCATATATTTCTGTTTAAAGTGCCCCAGCTCATTCATGTAAGAAATTCAAATGTGTTTGGCTTTTCAACCTCAGTGGAGTCCCTTTAAAAACAAACTGTACAAGAAACAAAAACCTTTTTATTTTATTTTTGCTTACCATTTTTAAGTATGTGCAATACATAGATTATATAATTATAATCTAATTAAAATGTCATGATAATTAGAAAATGAGCACTTATGTGACAAACTATAAACTATTTTGGAAGCAAAATCATACTGAATAAAAAAATATATAAGCATATTCGCAACTGCAGACTCGAATGTGAAACACCCAATATAACCATTACTCAACTCGGATTCATTACCGCTTTTTCATTACAGTATAACATAGCGGCCCTCAAAGTATTATTTATTTCTAAAGAGTTCCACTACATTTTACCTCTGTAGAGCAACCACTCTAGGCAACAAAGGGCATTTCTCTGTAAAGGTTATACTGTATATTTTAATTAAATACAAAATATAATTATTAAATAACTTGTGCAACTTTTGTTACCACTGAATACGAATAATGTATTATGTTGACGTTATCTTGTTCATTTTTTAATACAATACAGTTTGCTTTAAAACAAAAATAAAAAAAAAAAAAACAAGAAAAAAAAAAACAACCTCAAAACACACACCAAAAACACGTGTTTATGATGTTAGCAATAAAATGGACTTATTAAGAGAGTTCATAATCAGGTTTTTAACTTTGAATATTCTTCTGTTGCCACGTTGTAATCGGTAAAGTGGTCTTACGCTGAATTCGGAAGGCATGGAATTTGAGACACGATTGCGTATTGTACTAATAGATTATCCTTTAGAATTGTTGACTGTGTATGAAATGTTTCAAGGTCCACCTCGGACTCATGTCATTCATTTGAAGAGAAGTTGATACTGTGAGAAACACTGGTCTCGTTAAATTCCCTCCACTATAATTGAAATACTGTTGAAAGCGGTGCCGTTGAAAGCGGCGTTAAACCCAATATAAAAAAACTAAGAAGATGTAAAACATAAAATGCATAGTTCATTATTTTCATAGGCTCTACATAGCACTGCATTATGTGCAGACAAAAAACGAGCTTCTCCCACAACCATAATCACACAAATTGAGAATCCTACATAATCCCCTTCAATACAAGGGAATCTGTATTTAATATGCAAAATTCTCCGCTTCTGAACATACAAAATAAATCAACGGATCTTTCGCCTCTAATCGAGAAATGATCGCGGCTTCAGGTCGCCTCAAAGATGCGCTAGTAAACGCATACCGCGAGTCAGCTAGTTTAAAATAAATAAGAATATCTGTAATTATGTGAAATACGTGAGAAATTAAAGCCATAGCATGAGAGCGTGATTCCTGCTTTAAATCTGAGTCTCACGCTTAGTGCAGGGTATTTAGCGTCGAGAGAAAATAGAATAACCTTTGGCTGTTTAAATAAATTTTGAATTAAATGTCTGCTAGATTTTATAATATAATTAAGACTACCAGTGAATCATGACTTACATACAAATCGTTGCTACTTCCAGTTGATCATATTTTTGAAACGTAAATTTGATTCATTTCCTATGATGTTATCTATGTCTCTGTTCCTACTAACTGATATATACAATTCAAAATTGTTATATATGATAACATGGAAGTTTATGTTGTACCGAGATACACATAGCATGATGACATTGCGACTGCAACAGCCCTTTTATTCTTTTTTTCTGACATTCTTTGCAAAATTTATGTTTTTATAGTTTCTACTTAGGTGACCTTTTAATTATATCTTTCAATATTCTGAATTGTCTTTCAGTCCTCGAGGTATTTATATCCATACGTTGCAGTTTTTCAGAGATTGATACCAACTTTGCAGACAGTTATACCCTGATCTGTTGTACATGTATATTATTGAAGATATTCATCGAAATCAGGCATCTGACAGGACTTTTAAAAAAAAACATTTTTACGGAACATGTCTAAATACTATTGTTGTTGATGGTTTTCACACATTTTTATTCCTGTCAGTATGATATTTATCAAAAAAGTCGTGAAAATTTCCATGAGAAAAAAAATTAACGTCACCAAAATCATTACGTTTTACTCACCCTTTATTTTATATTCAAATAGTAATAGCAAAATATCTTACGCGTTGACCCTATATTTTTATTGCATAAATATTTTCTTTAAAGACTTCACTACATGTTAAAAAAATTATAGCAAAATTCACCGTGTTGATTTTTTATTATTTCACAATCTTTATTGCGATATCGCGCGATATTTGCATCAAAAATGGACGTCAGAACGTGAGGGAAAATAACGTAGAATCGCAGAGTATTAAGCAAATGTTCAAGAAAGACATCGTTACAAAGACATACATTAACTGAACATTATAAAATTAAAATGAATGAAATCGGATGAAAATTGATAAGAACAGACCAGTTTATTGATAAAAAAGACGCAATTTCGCCGCCACCGATAGAGGGCGCTTTGACGTCATAGTAACGCTGTTTATTTATAAAATAATGCTGCAGAAGTAAAGCTTACATAGCTACATGTCTGTATACCAAAAATCATCAAGATCTGAGATATTGTCAAATTTCGGTCGGAAAGTAGCGAGCTACCTTAAATTAGTCAGCCTGCAAACATTATTTGACCAAAGTGGTTGGCAACCGTCTATTTTCTGTTACGTGGTGACTTGAAGGTCACTTTAAGTAATGTTATAAGTGCCGTGTACTGTCTCCTCTTTATAACTAGAACATAAAGACATTATGTAACTATTTGTATCATAGTTTGAGGACCTTTCTGTTGAAAATGTGTCGAGAGTTAAATCCTATACATATACATGTACAGGGCGTTAGTTAACTAGAGTGACGCACTCCAGAGCATGCCCATTGATTGGCTCATTTTTTCTTGGGTTTACTTATTGTGATGGCAGAGAAAGGGATAGCAGTAAAAATATCATACTGAGATGCTCGTTCATTGGTTACCTTATTTCTGGGGACAACAGGGAAGTGTTTTTATGTCTGACTACATATGATACAAAAGAGAAAGAACATCAAAACACTCGTCAATCTGATTAATACACAGGGGGCTATGACACCTTGTACAAATCATATAGCCTCGTGTTTCGATGCTCTTTTTATTACTGCTAGGTGTCAACATAAAAATAATGAATTATTAAAAAGGGAAAGCCAAAGAAATAATGAAAATTTGTATTGTTTATATATAAATCTTTGGTATTGCGCAATATTGTTACTGCTGTACTTAAAATAGTCCTGTATTAATCTATTTTAAGATCGTGTTAACACCATTTGTTTTGTATTTGTTTAAATATTTTGGCAGATGATAGAAATACCATGGACAAGATTGTAAAATGTATCTGTAAAATAAAACAACTATTTTTGATGGTATTGTTGTAATGTTATGTACTTAATGACACAATATTGTTGAATGAAGTTATGTATGTGGATACACAATAGGTATTAATGATATATTTTTACTGTACAGTATTTAAAAGCATGAATGTAATGAATAAATACAATAGTCTTTTTTTTATCTTTTACATAATCTCCCTTTGGTCACGTTATTATTTTTAGAATGGAGGACGTTTTAATTTTAGCTTAAAAAAATGTAAATTTATGTAAAGTAATGTACAATATTGTATGCATTTTGATGTAGTATTAAAAGATTATATATGTCCTGATGTTAAAGGGTACTTAAAATTATAATTACATAATTTCAAATTTGAAGTCATGAAATATAGAATAAATACATGTATAGGTCCCATTTCATGACTTTTTACCGCCAAGTAAAGGTTGATAATATAAATTAATTATGTGTGTGTATGTATTCAATGAGTAGACCATTAGGGTCCGATTCCACCATTTCAGGCACTGAGAGTACGGACCCCCGGACATGTCACAATACATGTCCTCAAATGGTTATTATATGCAAAAAGGTGACATATAAATTTTAAATTCAGTAATTCACTGAATGATACTATGAAGTCGATTTATATAAATAAAGCAGAGTGTGTGTGTGTGTATGTATAAATAATATATATTAAAGGTTAATTATACATTTACAGTACATGTAAACTAATATAACAGTAAGAGATCAATAATTATGGTAATGTATAATAAACTGGTTTATATTACAACATATTGAATGGTATTGTGTTTTAACTAGGCCAGTTCATGCAATGTTATAATGGGGGTTAAAAAATTATGGAATACAATATGTAAGTTTTTTTTTGTTTTTTATTATTAAATACAAAATACAGAATAAAACACTTCCTTATGACACGAATAAACAGACTTTTTTATTAGATAACAATGTATAATCTTGCATAAATATTCAGAATAAACAGGATTATGATAAAAACAAATATTTTGGGAAATCTGGCATAATAAGTATTGGATTAATTTATGTAAATATTTTATACAAATTTTGAACTTAAATGTTTACTTTTAGTATGCTTGTACCCTTAATACAAATTGTTGTCGCTTAAATTTCTTGTGACATGTACATAATAGGATTTTGATTGGTAGATATTTTAAACATTTAAAACACACATGCTGTAGCTATTCAAAGGTAATGAATGAAAATATTTAAGAAAATTTATTTTAATTTTTTTTTTCTGTCAAATTGAATAAACTGCTTTTAAAATATGCATGACTTGGTAAGCACTTAACTAAATGTGTACTTAGAATACAAATGCACTTGCGATTTAAATTTTAGATTAATGATAAACAAAATAAAAAATTAAAGTTGAAAATTTAAAATCTTGGGACTTATTTTAAAAAAATTTTGTTTGTCATTAAAACAGTGAGAAAATGTTTTCATGATATTGCATTAAAATCTGGATTTAGTTCTCCGATGTAATAATTGTCAAAGGAATATTTTAAAGTTTCAGAGATTTCTTGATGTATATGTCATATTTTAGGGTATGAAAATTAAAAAAAAATTATTATTAACATTGAAGGAGAATAATTTTGCATAAATTTAAGTGTGCCTTGACAAAATTGTGGAAATTTAAACACGAATCAGTGGTAAGTACATAGCAACCTTTCATCTGTAGAAATTTGCTGAAATGAGTGCAAAAAAAGTTTGTACCGAATATTAATATTACTGAATGTTCAAGCGTTTTGAAGTTATGAAATTAATATTAATATTGATAAATTGTAATATATTATTCTTGTGATCCTGTTTAAATTATCATCAGATATTTGTTTGATATATATATGTTTTATATATATTAGTGGAAATAATGTTATTAACATTATTGTGTGGTTTTAACACAAAATGAATATTTCTAAATCTATTTAATACAAAATGAATATATTTAAATCTAATATTGAATTATTGAAATTCTACATCTTAACAGAACAAAAATAATATGTAAGAAGTTATAATAAATTTACAATAGTTATATTTATTTAAACTTTTAACAAATAACAGCAGAGATTTTTTCCCTTCTAATTTAAAAATTAAACGAACCTTACCTTGGTTAAGTTGAAGTTTGATTTCAATTCTTTGAGAATTGAGTGAGGGGCTTAACTGAGATACGGTTGCCTCTGTAAAGGGTCAGATTACATTGATATATGTCAATATTCTGTGAAATATAAATCATCTTAGTATTAAGTGTTGTTCAATCTTGAAGAAATGAGCGTCTTGATTTTATGTAATTAACCTGAATATTTAAAGTTACTTAGTTTCCTTGTATTTTAAGCTGTGCTCAATCTATGAAAGTGCTGACCCATATTTAGTGGTGTTCAACTCAACAGAAGACCATTAGGCTTTTCAAGTATTTAGTGGTGTTTCACCTATAATTGTGTTTTTAGTGTTGTTCAAGTTGTAAAAGGAGTATTTTAGTGTATATACAGAATGATCACCTTAAAACCAAGACAATCTTGATGAGAGACCTAATCTATCAAGTAAAGAATAAAATATTCATTGCAAAGCTGAAGGTTTTTTCCTATAAGGTAAGGCAGAAAATCTAGTTAGGTAAAACTGTTGATGTTACTTGCATTGATTTGCCATAAAAAAGTTGACAGTGTGATGTATATAAGCCGTCTTCGTCGAGAAATCTGGCGTACTAAGGTTAATATATAGGTAAACGTCTGGCGTTCATCAGTCAGCCGAAGTCATGGAGATCTGACATTGGCGGGATCCATCAATCTTTTAGGTTTCCTGACTTAATGAGTACTCACTTTCTTATTGATGATGTAATTACAAAATGTATCTCGGCAAAAACATTAGCTATGATAGTGTTAGTCATGACAGAGATGATGTTGTTTGTTAATGAATCTAGTCTGCAGCTGCACACAGGTAGTGGTGGATGTGGTATTTGTTTGTTGTTTTTCTTATCTGTTTGTTGTTGTTGCTGCAGTTGTTGTTGTTGTTTTTGTTGTTATTGCTGCATTTGTTGTTGCTGCTGCTGCAGTTGTTGTTGTTGCAATTGTGATTATTGTTGCAGTTGTTGTTGTTGCTGCTGCCACATATTTTGTTGTTGATGTTGCTGCAGTTGTTGTTATTGCTGCAGTTGCAGTTGTTTTTGTTGTTGCATTTGTTGTTGTTGTTGTTGTTATTGCTGCAGTTGCAGTTGTTTTTGTTGTTGCATTTGTTGTTGTTGTTATTGCTGCAGCTGCAGTACTGTTGTTTTTGTTGTTGCATTTGTTGTTGTTGTTCTTGTTGTTGCTGCTGCAACAGTTGTTGATGATAATGATAATTGAAGGCTTTACCTTTCTTCATAAAATTATAGATCTTTCATTAAGCTTTACCGTGGTATATTTGTTTAATGGACTTGTATTGTTATCTTTCGGTGGGGACAAATCCATCTGTAAAATTTCAAAATATAATAAGTATAAACATCTGTATTTCCTGAATATATAAGTATACATATATACATATATACAACAGAAATCATAACATTTTTGTATTACAACAGAAGAGTAATTCTTATAAAATTCTTCTTTTCCAAATTTATTTTTTCTTTTAAAATTCTTCTTAAATATGTATATTAATTGAAAAACAAAATTAGATATGCAGACCATGATCAGACAACAACAACACTGGTCTGCACTGGTTGCCCTGTTGACATTTATCCTTTGGTGTGCTTTTAAGCCGATTTAGGTCATTGGCATTTACCTTTTGGTGCACCTCTAATTCAATTTTAGTCTTTGAAATTTACCCTTTGGTGTCCTTTTAAGTCAGTTTGGTCTTTGAAATTTACCCATTGGTGTGCTTTTAATTCAAATTTACCCATTGATGAAATTTACTTTTAATTCAAAATTTACCCATTGATTTGCTTTTAATTTGAAATTTACCCCTTGATGTACTTTTAATTCAAAATTTATCCATTGATTTTGCTTTTAATTTGAAATTTACCCATTGATGTGCTTTCAATTTGAAATTTACCCATTGATGTACTTTTAATTCAAAATTTATCCATTGATTTTGCTTTTAATTTGAAATTTACCCATGATGTACTTTTAATTAATGCAAAATTTACCCATTGATTTTGCTTTTGATTTGACCCATTCAGATGTGCTTTTAATTTGAAATTTACCCATTGATGTGCTTTTATTCAAAATTTATCCATTGATTTTGCTTTTAATTTGAAATTTACTCATTGATGTGCTTTTAATTCAAAATTTATCCTTTGATTTTGCTTTTAACTTGAAATTAACCCATTGATGTGCTTTTAATTCAAAATTTATCCATTGATTTTGCTTTTAATTTGAAATTTACCCATTGATGTGCTTTTAATTCAAAATTTATCCATTGATTTTGCTTTTAATTTGAAATTTACCCATTGATGTGCTTTTAATTCAAAATTTATCCATTGATTTTACTTTTAATTCAAAATTTACCCATTGATTTGCTTTTAATACAAAATTTATCCATTGATGTGCTTTTAAGTCAGTTGAGGTCATTTTGACACTAACCTTTATATGTGATTTTAAGGGTAATATTTTGATGTGATTTTAAGACAATTTGGGTCATTGTAATTAATATACCCATTTATGTGCTTTCAATAGATAGATTGTGGGGTTAACTTAAGGCAGCAGGCTTGGCTAGGCCTGTCTAAATACTCAGCTGGCATAACATGGTGACTGGCATAACAAAGTGTTATTAAATAAAATATGCATTTATATACCTATCAAGTTAGCCAGTTCTGGTCTTCATACATACCAAAGGAAGCCAGTTTACACTGTTGCTGTTGATTAAGTATTACTGGTATGTTAATTGGCTATAATCTTTGATTGACAGGTATACTCCCAAATTCTGATGTTTCCTAGGCATGAAAACATTTAATTTTACTGTCTGGCTGGTGAATCAGGGTAAATCAATCACTGCAGGTGAAAACAAAGACGGAGATGGTACAGATGTAGATTAATTGGATAAATTCAATGGAAAAGGATACCTGTCAGAGACCAAAAATTTCACTCATCCGCCCGCCCGTAATTACAAATTTAAGAGAACGCGAGTAGAAAAAAATTAATGTTGCCTGCACATTTCATTTAGAAGCTGCTTGTCCTGCAGGACAAGTGACTCTGAAAATACTTTTCGATGCTTGCTCATTATATTAAATTTCATGCTGTCTTAGCTCTATCATAGTGAGAGGGTAAGATTTCTAATCCACTTGTTCAAAGCTTGTGTAAGACAAAAGTTCCTTTCCTCTAAACTTGTACTATATCCTTACAATATACAACAAACACAAATACTAATTTAATAATGTATTGTATGTATGGAGCACTTGGATGATCAGTCTAATCCACTTGTTCAAAGCAAGTGAAAGACAAACTTTCCTTTCCTCTAAACTCATACTATAATAGCCTTACAATAAACAACAAACACTATGATACTAATTTAATAATGTCTTATTTGTATGGAGCACTTTGACGATCAGTGTAATCCACTTGTTTGAAGCAAGTGTAAGACAAACTTTCTATAGGGCAATTGATCTGTCATTTATCACTCTTCACAAATCATGTTGGATTGGTAGTCAATCACTTGGTTATCAGGTAGGAACCGGTTATAACTGGTTATGTGTCCAGATAAAGCTGGATAGGTCGACCAACTGTGGAGATTATGACCAAAAAATTTGTTGAACTTGGCATAAATACCAAACAAACAAACAAATTTTGTGAAATTAATGTGTAAATATTTTAAGAGAAATTGCTATGATTTTTTTTGTGTCATTAAATAAAGAGCAGGCAGTTAAAAGATATGAGCCATGACATGACACATCCAACATAGTGGTCAAATTTGACATTTTACTTTTTTCAAAGATTCTCAAAATGCAATCTTTTCTAAATCATTCAAGACAAATTTTATTATATTTAGACAAAGAAAACTTGATTTATAACGCTTTTTAACATTATAAGTGACGTCGTTTTATTTGACGGAATAAAAAATGCAACGTGAATAAACTGAATCATCGTTTTGCTTGACATATACTCCTATATACATGTATCTTAGCATGTAAATTATTAACGTTACTAACGACGAAGCTCACATTTTTATTGTTAAAGAGTACCGTGTCAATTGTAAGCCATCTTAAGTACATGTAACGACTTGTTGCACGAATAGACATATACAAGTATATGGAAAGCCTTGACTGTCTTATTATTATAAACCTGAACGTTGTTATGTCCAACTAGCAATATATTGAGTCAACCTTTCCGTATACAATGTGCACTCATTAATATATTATGTGGATCCATCTTTATATGTAGTCAACTGAACAATATTTGATGTCAATGTGTCTTTATATGATGTCAATATATCATTATACGATGTGCATTTTTGAATATAGTATGTGGAACCATCCTTATATAAGGTCAAAATACTCAGGTAATGAATGTGCACAGAAATACCAACATTTATGTTTCAAAAAATTGCAGGAATAAATAAAAAATGAGATATCACTTTTTGAATACATTCAAGAATCATCTTATTTCCAAGACATGATATAAACATACAATTTAAATACTGCGTAACTGTGACATCATATCCTCAAAGCAGCACGCTCAAGATTTTTGCT